TTTGCCAGTTCTTGCATAAATAGCTATTTTGCACTAAAAATGTCGAAGAGTAGAACTGGGTGCTGAAAAGTAGTACTTTGCGACACTGCTATTTTAGTTAGGAAAAGTAAGCCATTGTGTTATTCAAAAGAGTGTCGAAATGCAGCAATTTCTGTACTCTTTTTAGTGGAGAAAATGTTGTAGCAACTCTCGCACTCGTCAGCCTCGGCAAGCCTCGTTAGATAAACTTTGTTTTTCAGTTCATCTCATAGGTAAACTACGACTCGGGCCGAAAAAAATCTTCTTTTTACAACTTGTTGCATAAATAGCTATTTTAGAACACTAGCTTTAAATTCAAAAACTCTTCCCTGATGGGGCATTTTTATCTGCCTTCAAATTACCTCTGAAGTAGGTATTCCATCGATATTATGGAAATTTTGCGAAACTTTTCCTTGAGAAATATTCTTTTCCGACTTGAAGTAGAATATGAAAAAACCAACATAAAAAATCGAATTTCAACCTACCTGCACCTGCACCCCATTCTGAAACACTTTGCAGGGGTGGCAAGTCAACCAGGAAAACATGGAATTCTGGAAAAATCAGGATTTTAATGTCACCTGGAAAAACCAGGAAAAATCTTGTTTATGAATTTCACATGAAGTGATATTGGCACATATTCCAAAACTAAAATTATTCAAATCTAATCATTTCGTTCAAACTTCTACGCAAAGTATGCTGCAAGCTGATCAGAATTAACCTCAAGTAAGGGTTTAGTGAATGTATTGTATATTTATCGTTCTTTTCATGATTTTTTTTTCTCGAATCGCATTGTGTGAAAATTGACAAGTTAATATGCTGTGGCTAATTGCTGAGTCACTTTAAAATACATTTATAGGTAGCTAAAGAACTGTCCACTTAGAATCCGTACGTTTAGTATATTTTGTAGCGGCACGCTAAGTGATCGCTGCAAGCATATTTTGACTGTGATTTGTTTATAAAGTAGTCCTCTTGCGGTGGTGAAAGTTTTACCGCTTTTCGTGCAGCAATTCATAAGATATTCCAGATGGCAGACGAGAGAAGAAAATCTCGATGAACATTTCAAATGGTCCTATCTGCTTTGATCGATTCTCTTCATCGACTTTCTCTTTCGTCAATAACTCATCTGCAAAACCTTTCCCTGTTGTATTTGACGTTTTGGACGCTAGATAAGAACCTCCTTTATCAAACTATGTGGTAGAATTAACGCGAAATCTGTTTGCATAGCAGTGGTTATGAAAAGAGAAAGTCAATTAAGAGAATCGATCAAAGCAGATAGGACCATTTGAAATGTTCATCGAGAAATTTATCTTGTACATCCACGTTGAAACTGCAATTATCGCAAAAAGCTGAATATCGCCAAAACTACCGTGTGTGATGTGCTCAGACCTTTTCGCGAGCGGCACGAAGAGATGTCCCCGACAGATTTATGTTCGCGTTCGTGGATAAATTTGCTCGGAAGTTCATGATTTAGCAAGGTATTTGCACGTGTGGAGCGAAAACCAAGGTTTTTGCCTCAAACAAGACGATGGACTTGATGTGTACAAGGAAGAATTCCTCACTCAGGAAACGCGTACTGCCTTTCATAAAAGCACACAAAGGGCCTGTGAAGTTTTGGCCATATTTGGCGAGTTGCCTCTTCAGCCGGGTGGTTCTTCAGTGGTACCATGCGAATGGGATGGATTTCATCGACAAGAACCAAAATCCACCGAATTCCGCCCTATAGAAAAATATTGGGCAATTATGAAGCGGAAGCTTAAGAAGACTGGTAAAACGGCTCGGGACACTGCACAGTTGACAAAATTTTGGCACAAACTTGCCAAAGAGGTTAATACTACAGGTGTGCAACGTTTCATGCCGGGGAAAGTGCGCAGCTACATCAGAAATGAAGGGACATAATTTAAATTATATTTTTCTATGTAAGTGCCATCAAATATCTTTGTTTTGATTGGTTAAGCTTTTCCATTCCATCCCGAGATAAAAGTGATTTCTTCCGTACGGATTCTAAGTGGACAGTGCTTTAGATATGCTAAATCAATCCCAGCTTTAAACATAATTGAGATGCTGATACTGAGATAGAGATAATTACAATGTTTAAGTAGATGAAATCAATCCAAATGGGTAAAATCTGAGCCAAAAACGTCTCTCTCACTGTTCAGTTGGTGTGAACGTTTTTCATATTCTTTCAGTTTCTCGCCTATTTCGCTCTACTGCTGCTGTCAGTTCTGAGTCTATAATCAGTTATCTGCTTGGTAGAATTAAGTTATTTTTTTGCATCCACGCAGCTATCTTGTTGCATCCAATAAAAGTTTAAAGTAAGTGAAAGTCGCAATACTTTCTGATCCTAAAGTAGACCAAAATGGATTCATGCGCTAGTGGTGATCCCGCATAAATGTTTTGCTTAGGCCAGAAAAGGGTAAAGAACTATATTTTTCAATTTGCAAAATGCAGTGCTATATTACATTCAAAATGATAAACTTTTATTTGTACTGGCCTTACCGAGGGGAAACGGGGGGATTATCTTTGGCGCTGCGGTCTACTTTTCACCAATATTTAAAACTTTAAAATTGATTTGCATGAACTAGATTTTAAGAATCTTTTAGTAATTTATACATTTAACGTGTAACGTGTGTAATATTTAACGGAACTCAATAAACTACAGTGATTTGAAAAGTCTATTTGACTAGCGTTGATTTAAAATCTTATTAAAACTTTATCATATTTAAAAATTCTGTTTGGATCAAGCAAAATCAGTTTTTGTTTGTTTTGTATTTAACCGGATTGGATTTCTAACCATGAAAAATTTGCGGAAATTAAAAATAAATCCAATAAAATAGATAAATGTATTTCAATATTATTATATCAAATGTTTAATTGTTGACCACAAACATGATTTATAAAACCAGGAAATTTTCAAACCTGGAAAACCGGGAAAAAAACCTGGAATTTTAAATTGGAAATTCAGTTGCCCCCCTGACTTTGCAAATCCATCATAGCTGGAACACACGATAGCTCCGTCCCTTATTCAAGTAAACGTTGCACCCGGTCCATAGTAAACTCCTGGGTTAAGATGGGCTGAACATGCCAGCCATTCTTTGAGCATTCAAGCTTACTTATTATGTGCGTCTTTTGAGCTGGAGCAGAGTCTTGTCGATATAACGTAACTGTCACTTTTTACTTCCATCGTCAATATCTCCCTAATAATAATACAAATTAATATATCTAATAGATGGGGGATTATCTCATCTGTCCGATGGTGTCATTACTTTGCTTGTTTAATTGATCGTTTGCGAGAAATCGGCGGTGGAAGTCAAACGTGACAGTTACGTTATATCGAGGTTAACCTGTATAAGTATTTTCTGTGCATCTATGAAGCATAAGGATACAAATAATTCATCAAAAATTGCGCGACATTGTATTCAAGTTGAATTTCATGTTAAGCTCTATAAGTCTATTGCAGCACTATTTTTTTTTTCTTTCAAAGGTTGCTGGACAAATGGAATCGCTTACACATTCGAGTAAAATGTTCACTTTTTTTGTAAAACTAAATTAAATATATAAATTGGTATCAGCTATTCTGAGACATCCTGTAGAATTTTCCGTCCAAAACATGAATCATACCCCTTTGGAATTCCATTCAGACTCAAGAAAATTCCATTTAAAAAATCCTTCCGATTCCTCAACAATTTCTAAAAAAAATTTCAAGTTTTCTGGAAGATTCTGATACTTACTTCCAGAATTCATGAAAATTTTTTATTAATTAGTTAATTTTTCATTGGTTTTCTTATTTACACAAATAGTCAACACAATTGTTGGCAATTTGTTTGGATCGGAATATTTTTTATGGTTTTGTGTGCCGACCAAGTTTATACATAGCAAATATAACCAGCCACAATGTTATGTACATGGTTTATGTCTGTGAGGTTTCAAACAGAATTTTTCTATGGAATAAATGGAATAAATTTAGTTTTTTATTAAAAACCTCTCCACGAGACCCTGGTTTAACAGTTTGCAGTCCAAGGATCAACACAATCATTTTCAACACGTTCCACAGTTTGCATTGTGAATATTTTGATTTACTGGTCAGTTTTTCGTTAACATTTTTATAACAAACCTTGAATAACTTAAACCCCATACCGTGTCTTGCTTCTCTCAAGAAAGCAATAAAAACTGGCCTCTCCTCAATGCTCTCATTTCCATTACATTTCTTTCCACTATAAATGTGTGTGTATTTCTTCTTCTTCTTTTCCTCATATAGATAATGTGGCCTTAGCAAAGAGTTTTAAGGGGTAATTTATTTTTCTACGATTAACCAAGTAGCATTTCACAATTTATTTTCCCGCGCCATTCGAGCATTAGTGGTGGCCACTACAGTTTTTCACTCGGCTTACAAAACACCTTGTTATTTTTTTTTCACTAAATTCTACCAAACAAATTTTCCTATCTTTCTGGCTACACGCTCCTTTTGCAATCAACATAGTCTATTCTCTACATATGTTTTATATTTTTTTCTACTCCTTTGAGTCAATTCACTGTGTTTCTGAAATCCAAGCTTCCGATGCCACGCAATGCTGATTTAGTTCTTCAGACTTTGAATGCATGCACACTTTTATGCAATAAAATTCCTTATTTTTTTAGAGAAGACACCGAAACCAGCCCCAACATGCAATGAAAGATCAGTAATCTTGCGTTAAAACTGAAAGAAATACATACACAAATAACACTCCGTCCAATCATTCGACGCCAGAACGATAAACAGTCACTTGATAACACATCAACATTTACACGTGACATTTCACCAAAAAAACGTATCAATAGAACAAACAGAACAACAGAAGACAACTCTGCCACAGCATTCACCCATATTCGTAAAGAAGCGACAAATCACACTAAACATTCACAAAAGAAAACAAACAAAACAACCTTCTTCTTCTTTGCCAAACGAGTCTCAATAGATGCTTGTTCCAAATGTTCCTCCTCCGCAGACTACTAGTGACCGGACGACGACCAAGCCGTTTTGGGTTGGAACCTTTCCCAGCTCCTCCGCTCGAGGATGACGAAAAAGTCCAGGAATCGAAGAATTAAATCCTATCAATCCTTTTCCCGGGACATCCGGTAGATTTTAAAAACTGATTCACACTGCTTTCGACCAACGACCAACACTCCTTGAAAAGCATTTCAACTAGTTCATGTCATAGTGACGTGGGAGCTGACGAACTATAGCAACGAATACTAAAAAAAAAACCTAGAAAATTTCCGTTTGGATATGTGTGCGAGATGCTTTCTTTGCGAGGCGTTCTGACGATATAAGAAAGGAATATTGTTTTTAGAATTAGCATAGAAATACGGACAACAATACAGTTAGGAATCAACCATACAAGTCAGGGCTACATTCCAGTCATTGCATGTTGAGAGGATCCACAATCAATAACCAAGAAGGAGTTGGATTATTGTGAACCAATGGGAACCAATAGTGGTCTAAGTTGCATCCCTTACATCCTCACTAAAGTCAAGTGCATGAATAACTTAATTTATGGTATTATTATTGGATATGGTATTGATATTCCGAAATGAAACTAAACGATGCATGCTCGTAGCGTAAATATTGATATTGTACTTATGATTTTAAATGCATTATTAAAAATGTAGATCTAACGGTAGACTAGATTTGAGAAGACGGAACCTAACGATTTTAACTAACACCAGGTTAACAGTAATGATCAGTCCGTAGCGAATAGCTAGCTGTACAGTAAAGTTAACCGAAGCACTTCTTCTAATCTGATATAATCTTTTCCAATGCAGAGACTTATTTTCCGTAACCTTTTTTAACGAGCCACTAATTAAGTTAACCATTTAATATCGCTTATATATTTCTCCGAAACAGGTACAACACATCCAACTATGTCGATTTTACTCTTGTCTCCCATCGTCGCTTGTCGATGAAATGCTGGTACATTTTGCTAACTTATTGCAACTTAACACTTCTCTTCATAAACTTCCTCTAATCGAAATGTTACCAACTTCAAACCCAATAACAACAAAATTACCAAAAATCATACATCCACTATTTAACCTTAGAGAAGCGATCTTAGCGCAAAGCAAACGCATTCCACTCATGCAAATCTCTTCCTCGCCCAGCTGGGGGAGGAGCGGCACAATTAGAGCATCAAATTGATTTCACTATTTTTAGATAGAGTCAAAAATCTTAGAAACAAAAACAAATACCCCCACGTGCGCGAGTTGACCTTAACTCATCCTTCAACGCTCAACAAAATCCATACCTCCACATATGTGCCTTAATCTGCTCCATCTCCACCTAGACCTATTAGACGACCCATTTAACATAAGTTACCTAAGTTCAATTCTCACGGCTCAAACAGAGGCTAATTGCGCGCTTACGAAGCATGCTAAAAATTGAGATCTACATTTTTAAGAACCACATGCCATTCCGGGGCTTTTGCATTCGTAAATTCTACTAATCTGCATCGAGTATTATTATCTAGAACACAAATATGTATTCCTGCATGGCTTTTAACAGTACTTCCGTATGATAAGCAAGGTATTAGTGTTAAAAGTGTATTTATTTATTGGTACGGTTCCCAGCAATTGGTGAAGACATTTTGTTGTTTCCTTTATTTTTATTTGTTTGTTATTTTGAATCGATAGTTGATTAATCAGTAAAGTATATTAATCGCAGTCTCCAATTAACTTCGATGCGATTGGCAAAATTGACGCACATTGATATACTTTGCCAGTTGTTGTAGATATTAACCTATTTACCCAGTGCAATCTGCTAGCTTAAAACAAATGGTATATATTCATATTTTATAGTAGTTGTTGAAGGTTATTAATAAACGGTTGAAGAGAAATTCAATTGCCCGTAGTTTGATCTTGTGTTATTGTTTATTTATTTATGTCTGACAAATCTTCGGTGATAATTGGATTACAAAACATTCACATAATATATTTAAGAGGAAAAAAATGTTAACATATGTACACGCGCACACAATACGTACACATTACCCATTTACAACTACAAACACTACACGGGAGGCAACTAAAACGGTTCTCTTTGTTGCAGCAATAGTTGTTGGGCGGTTTGTTTGCTAGATGTTAGATAGCGGGCTTGAAAAAAAACCAACTGAAGCTACAGTAACTACGAAGCACATAAAAAAGTGTTTCGTCAGAGAGCAAAAAGGATTATCAAACATTTTGAATCACTAAAAACAAAAACTGCATAATAAAAAACTATTCAACATAATTAAGGCTCAAGTTACTGGACGCTTTTTGACAGATAATTAAGAGTTGGAGATGCTTAACGTCAAATATCAGACTTAAAGTGGTCATTTTATACGATAGATGAAAGTATAGAGTTGATAGTTCCGTTAGAGTGCGGCAGTGTGAAAATTAGAAATCGAGCAAAGGTAAATTTTTAGAAAGGTACGAATTGGGTTGACCATCTCCTTTACCAAACTCCCCAGTTGGGGAGGGATGGAGAAGTGTATCCCCCCGCCACCACTACCAGCGAGATGATCGCCGACTTGCTCACTTACCTCCGATGCGCGGAAACAGTTCTATCGATTGTTTCACACTCAAGTCGCCATTTGACGTAAGCATCTAGTCGATAAGTTTGTAAATTGCAGCTACAGTACTTCTTCGCTAACTGGGCTAAAAGCAAAAACACTGAGGGGAACTTCGATGAATTGTTTGATCAGCGTTAAAATTTTTAATTTGCCTTGAATTGAAACAGGGTAAAGTTTGTTATCACAGCATTCAATTTCGCGAGTTTAGAAAGGCTTAACGCTTTCGCTAAAAACGTATTCAAGTCCTGCTTTCAGAGTGAAATGAAAATAATTACTAATTTATTTGATTAACACACTAAGATTTTTTTACAGGAGTCAGTATTTTTTTACTGGGTTTTGGAATTGCTGAAAAAGTCGGTAAAAATTCAAATGACCGTTATCCGTAAGGAATCAATGAAATCGACCAATTTTATTTTCTATCATTAAATGGAGTTAACAGAACAAAGTATGTACAAATTCAGAACAAATTTTCGCATTAATAAATTTTCCACAGATTTTCAAACTTTTACCGAACAGTTCCGCAATTCAAAAACTCGGTAAAACCGTACTGACTCGATTAGTGTGAACACTTAATATTTCATTCGAATGCCCCTCATTAATTTTGACAACGAAGTGTCAAACTAAATGTGACGTCTATTTTTGACGTATGACTGTTTTTTAACTGGGCTACAGACCAGTTAACGAACGCCCAGTTAAAAGTAACCCAGTTAAAGAACGCCCAGTTGCCGAACAAATACTGTATTGTTGCCTCTACTGCTGTATAATTAGATAATTCATTTATTTATTGACCTAATCTCTTGTGATTACCATGTGCAATGTGCAGAATTCAGTAAATTCGGAATTAACATTGAATCTGACAACCGCAGCATGCTATCATATTACAATTACAAGAAATTCTACGCAAGATGCAATTTTCTATAAATTATTAATATTTGGTTTACTTAAAATCATTACTTTTAAGCGCAGTACACACCATGCAATGAAATGCTTCTCATAAATTTCATGCCTCTTTATTTACAAGCGAGTTGCAGAACTGCAAATCTAGGGCGAGCTTTCAAAAGGATGTATCTGCATTTGTAAACAATGATTCAAACGTCAATTTGACAAAACTCTTAGCTCACTCACGCAAACTAACTCAACCATCAGAATAGTTAATGTTTTCCTTACAAGATGGTGTTGTTAGTTTGTGTGGGAGAGTTAGGAGTTTCGAGAAATTTACGTTTGAATCTTTGTTTTCAAATACATATGCGTCATTTTTAAAAATCATCCTTGAAAGCAGTTCACACTAAATTTTATTTATTTTCGACATAAATATTCATTTGGGTTACCGTAAAACGGGGTATCTTTGATAGTAGTATATGATGATTTAAATTTACTCTCTGCTTACTTACTTACTTATCCTGGTCCAACATCCCTCAGGATTGCACCTGCATCACAATGTTACGCCAATTCACTCGGTCCGCGGCTGCTTGTCTCCAATTTCGTGACCGTCCCACACTTCCAAGATCCTGCTCCACTTGGTCTAACCAAAGATGAATACTAAGATGAAACTGTCGGAAGAAAAACTTTCTTTTTTAGTGTCCTCTTTCACGGTCCCTTTCATCCAATGAATACCCTCCGTATTCAAGGTAATTTTGTGGTTTTGCTGCCACCTCGATAGAGATGAATTTTTGCGCTCATTTTTATCAAAACAAACACACCAAAATCCGAGGGGGGCGACACATCTAAATCTCAATTCTAGATGCTCAAAAAATCTCACACTAGCGAATAAATCTTCGAAAAATCTTCTTTCATTTCTCGCATCTACTTGCATCGCGAATCATCTTTTTGCAGGAAATCTTCAAAATCGTGATAAATCTTCTTTCTATCTACTCAGCGTTTGTGCAGCTAGCCACAGCAAAACACAATATTTCCTTACGTAGATAGAGTCGTCCCCCTCGCCAAAATCATATGTGTCCCATTTTTTAATTATTCGATTAACAACTAATCGATTTTTTTGTTCGCTGTGCTGCCATTTTTCCCAATGAGAGTGCAGCACATGTTTGAAACGATCGGTGATGATCCTCTGGAGAAGTTAATGCTTATATCGGCATGATATAACCGATAACAAATATTTTACTTTTCGGTTCGTTAATCGATTAATCGATAATTCGAATGAAAATCGGTCATCACTAGATGAATGTGAAACGTCATTTCAAATATATGGACCGTACATAAATAATGAGACAATTTGAAAGGTACCGGGGCTCATCACAAATTACGTCCACACGGTAACTGAAATAAACACGAGTGTTCACCGGTTGGTCTAACCACCTTGCTCGCTGTGTTCCTCTTCGTCTTGTACCGGCCGGATTCGAGTCAAACACCATTTTTGCGCAACTTTTTGGTTACAGGGTTCGCCATAGAGTTGCACCAGCTCGTGGTTCATCCTTCGCCATCATACACCGTTCTCACATACCCCGCCAAAGATGGTCCTAAGCACTCGTCGTTCGAAAACACCCAATGCTTGCAGGTCCTCCTCGAGCATCGTCCACGTCTCGTGCCCGTAGAGAACTACCGGTCTTATCAGCGTCTTGTACATGGTACATTTAGTACGGAGGTTAAGTTTACCCGACCTCAGGGTCTTGAGGAGTCCGTAGGAAGCACGATTTCCGGCAATAATGAGCCGACCAATTCTCTGCTGCAGTTGTTATCCGACGTCACCAATGATCCGAGGTACACAAATTCATCCACCACCTCGGACTCATCTCCCTCTTCTGCCTATGCGAGCCCTATCCCGCTCGGTTCCTCCAGCTAATAGATACTTTGTCTTCGACGTATTCACCATTAATCCAACCTTCTCTGCTTCACGTTTCAGCCTGGTGTACTGCTCCGCCGTCAGCGAAGCAGATGAACTTGGCTGTACTTATTGAAGATCGTGCCCTGCACGTTTCACAGCACCTTCTAGCGCAATGTTGAACAGGAGGCGGGAAAGACCATCGCCTTGTCGAAGTCCTTTGCGAGTTTCAAACGAGCCCGATAACGCACCCGATATCTTCACGCAGCACTGTACACCATCCATCGTAGCCCTGATCAGTCTGGTCAGCTTCCCGGGAAAACTGTTCTCGTTCATAATCTTCCATAGCTCTTCACGGTTAATAGTATCATAGGCGGCCTTGAAATCGATGAATAGATGGTGCGTAGGGACTTGATATTCACGACACTTTTGGAGGATCTGCCGCAACGTAAAGATTTGGTCCGTTGTCGATCGCCCGTCCACAAAACCGGCTTGATAACTTCCCAAAAATCTGCTTGCTAGCGGCGATAAACGGCGAAAGATGATCTGGGAAAGCACTTTGTAGGCCGCGTTAAGAATAGTGATCGCTCGATAGTTCTCACATTCTAGTAGCTGTTCTGTATCCCGGATCCTGACTATCAGTCGGTGCAGACAAGTGGCCAACTTATCCGGGCGCATTTTCATAAGTTCCGCTCCGATACCATCTTTCCCAGCTGCTTTGTTGTTCTTAAGCTATCGGATAGCATCCTTAACTTCACCTATCATGGGAGCTGGCATGTCCCTCTCATCCACTGTACCGACGAAGCCATTCCTCCTGCCACCTTGGTCCTCCGCCTCTGCGCCGTTTAGATGTTCATCGTAGTGCTGCTTCCACCTTTCAATCAGCTCACGTTCGTCCGTTATGATACCTCCTTCCTTATTTCGGCTCGCGGCACAAAGCCTTGGCGGGATGCGTTGAGTTTCTTGTAGAACTTGCGTGTTTCTTGAGAACGATACAGCTGCTCCATTTCTTCGCACCCCAGCTCTTCCAGGCGGCGCTTCTTATCCCGGAAAAGATGGGTTTGCTGTCTTCGCTTCTGTTTATATCGCGCTACATTATGACGAGTTCCTTGCTGCAGCATCGCCACCCGTGCTGCGTTCTTCTCGTCCAAAACCGTCTGACACTCTTCGTCGAACCAATCGTTCCGTCGATTCCGCTTCCAGCAGCGCTGTTAATGGCTGCTTTCACGTTGCTCCAGCAGCCCTCAAGAGGGGCTTCGGTGAGCTCTCCCTGCACGTTCTCAGTTGCGACTTCGGGCAGCTTCAGTCGCTCCAGATTGTACTGTGGCGGGCGTCGGTACCGAATGTTGTTGGCAACGGAAAGTTTTTTGGCGTACCTTGACCATTAGAAGGTAGTGGTTCGAATCGATATTTGCGTCGCGATAGGTCCTGACGTCGACAATGTCTGAGAAGAGCCTTCCGTCGATCAAAACGTGGTCGATTTGCGATTCTGTCTGCTGTGGTGATCTCCAGGTGTACTGATAT